CTTACATAATGAGTAAAATGATTCTTGTTATGATTTTTTTTGACCAGTTTTGCGCTGGCTGTCGACTACCTAACACAACCCTCTACTTTTCACATCCGAGCTTGGGGCCGACAATGATAGTGCTAATGGAGGGGTGCAATATGAGGACTTCCTAGGAGGTCACCCATCATAGTACTACTCGTAGCCACTATGAGTATTTCTGAGGTCTTCTACCACTCTACCAACACGTTCATTTAAATTTCCTCCAATAAAAATTTTTTCTTCAAGAGGTATCATCTGTATTAAGTCTTCTAAGTCATTCTAAAATTTATCTTTAGACACTGTATTTAAACCTACTTGAGGAGCATAAACACTTATAATATTAAAAATCTTAATATCAATGATAATCTTAAGGACTATAATTCTATCTCAAACTCTATTAATTTTTACAACCTTATCTTTCAAACTGTTATCAATAATTACACCTACACCATTTCTAGTGCGACTCTTACCTGAATACTAAAGTTTAAAATTTGAATTATCATTCTCTTTAGTCTTTTGTCCAACCCACTTAGTTTCTTGAATACATAAGATATTAATTTTCTTATGAATCATAATATCAACTAATTTCATTAATTTTCTTGACCCGCATTCGCCCATAATGTGGGAACCCTTGCTTAACCTATTCTAATATTACTTTCATTAGTTTCATGAACTAACGTCTTGACCCGCATTTGCACATAATGTGGGAACCCTTGCTTATTTGACACTACACCCTGGCGTGCGCACCGCTTCCAGGGAACGCCCTAACACTTACATAATGATCAAAATGATTCATGTCATGATTTTTTTCGACCAGTTTTGCGCTGGCTGTCGACTACTTAACACAACCCTCTACTTTTCACATCCGGGCTTGGGGCCGACAATGACAGTACTAATGGAGGGGTGCAATACGAGGACTTCCTAGGAGGTCACCCATCATAGTACTACTCTCGCCCAAACACGCTTAACTGCGGAGTTCTGATGAGATCCGGTGCACTGGAGCTGGTATGGTCGCACCCAATATCTCTGTTAAATTGTAGACAAATATAAAAAATTTATTTCACACTGTCTGACCATCTGTACTCGCCTTGGTTAATTCCGAGCCGGATCGTGACACTTTCAAAATATGATATTGGGTCCATATATTGTTTACCTAAAATAAAAGTGGATTAACAATGTAAGTCAAACAAAATACTAATTGGAGAAATAAACTTTATACGAGAAATCTTGAAGATAGAAATTCACAATACTCTTTTTAATATCGAAGCACCAAAAAAAAACCTAAATCTCAAAACAATTCATATGAACATTAGCAATGCATGGGCACATCCATCTCATGCTTTTAAAATAATAAACATGCATCATAATCTTCTCCCAAGCTAATAAAATACTCGACAACAATAACGAAAGTGAAAACAAGCAGACATGACATTTATAACACAAACACATAAAATAATGAAGGCTCATCGGGTTCATCGTGATGAGCAAGTCATTTCAAATTAAGAATCTAGCCATTCCTTCTGCTATCAGGTGTTTGAAGAAACATCAATTAAGAATCTAGCCATTCCTTCTGCTATCAGGTGTTTGAAGAAACATCTTCATCCATATTGCATCTTCTTGGAACTTCTTTAAAGCTTTCGAGGAGTTAATGTCATCTAAGTCTTCTATCAAATCTAGGAACTTCATACATTCAACCAACAAAGATTCAGAGCTTTCATTAGCAGATCCAATTGAGGTACATAATTTATTTTCTATCATATCAATCCTTTTTTTCGAACTCTCACTTAAAACTTGAAGTGTAGAGGCAATCACATTTACAAGTGTTGTCTTCTTCGCATGTTTAACCGGTAATTTTCTTTTATTCTTCTCCTCTATAGGTTCTGTTCACTTTCTCCATTCTTATCTTCTTCTTTAGTGTCTGAAGGGATTCTGGCAGAAGGATGTTGCAGACTTTTAGTTGCAGTTGTGTCACTATAAATACGACAGAGAGACTCATACATTGAACATCATTTTCTCTTAAATATTGATCTAATATTAGTAAATAAACATTATGATTAATAAAAATGTGTAAATAATAAATTATAAATTTTGGATTAAATATAATCAGAAATAAAAACCTTATTTGACTTGGCCCATACATCTTCAAATGCAATTACTTGACTTGTGTTTCCGTTATAAAAATATCCAGTCTCTTTCAACAAATTTAAAATTCTCTCCAACGAGTTCTAAATGTATTAAACTTATTTCTCAATTCTTGCTTTTATTTTCTTTTTATAGATGATTTAAATTCTTGCATAATGCGTGACCATACAGGTGGACTAAAAGTTGTTTGAGTATTCCCATTAATGACTTCAATCTCCATTAGTTGAATAAAGATTTGTTCATTTCTATCTGACCATACAACCTCTCCCGTCATATCAATTTACATCACTTTTATCCATGGTTCAACTTGATACATGAGAAAGAAATGTTAATTTTCATTAAATAATTACTTTGATAGCACTTGAAACTTTTTTACATACAATATTAGCATCATTTCAAGGCAACTATTTCATATACGTAGCACACAACTCTAATGCATTTATATATATGCTATCACAGACAAAAACACAAATTGATCTCAAATAACCCCTTCGGTTTTCAATTCCTCTTTCGGTGGGTCCATTGGATATATTCTTTAAATATCATGTAAAATCTTTGAGTTTTTAACTTGACAATTAAGTTTAGTTAATGTCAATTACACAAGTACCCCTGCAATCTAAGAATAAAACTGTTGTTTTAGTATGAAGTTAGTGTTTGTGATATATAAAACTCATTTTGCAGATCAATGATGCATGTTTGCAACGAATAAATTGTTGCAAGCTACATGGTATTTTTCATTTACATGAAGTAACAAAGTTTTGAGAAAGCCTTCTGGTTGTGGAGAAGGTATTCAACCAGAATTACGGCGTTAGGATATTTATTGCCAAAAATTTTCTTGTATAATTCTGTAGACTACTCTTCAAGCATGTTGAGATTATAAGTTTTTTGTAATTCATTCTATAATTGCAGTCTCCTTCAAATTTCATTTCTATTTTTATGATAATATTATTTTCAACTTTATTGCTGTTTATTTTTCTGAGATGAGCATTTGCAGATTATTTTCTTCTACTTGGACAGGAAAACGGCGGCCTTTTGTGCATTATATTCATACATTAAGCTATTCTTACACGAATCAAATTGAGCTTTAATCTTATTTTATCTATTTCAGTAATAAAAAATAAATCACCTTCACCTTATCATGGTAGGTGTGCTTTAATGATTTGCAAGTCTTCTATGTGTCCTGGAAATGATAACAAGAGATGAGAACAACTTGACTGCTCATGTTTAAAATGAATTTACAGATAAACAAGCAGCAGGGCATGGTCTTGCAGTCTGCTGAAGGAAAAGAAAACCCATCTGCACCCTCTTCAGTTGTGCCTGATGTTGATTATGGTAACATTTCCTTCAATACATCTGTTCTCCAAAAGGTCAACGAAGTTTGGGAAGAGGGGAACCCAAATGACTCTCTCCACAAAAAGAAAGCGGGGCCTGATGGAGTGGATGCAGCTATAAAGGACCATTCTGCATCTATTTTTGATAAGTTTTTTGGAAATGCATTGGTGAAAAATTCTGGAAGTTTGGAAAGTCATATTCAGGTATTGTTCATATAGATTAGTTGGTATTCTTGTAATCATTCTGTTGTTATGTATAGTCTCTTGTTATATCTCAATAGGTTGGCTTCTCTTGAGATGTATACTTGCACCCAGAGTCACATCTACACGATTAACTTTTAAGGTGGATAAATTGTGACATGGGATTTTGTTTTGATTACTACTTGAAAAGATGGCATTTACCTAAGAAAATTTTTATTGACTTAAGCGGTTGATATCTTGATCATAAGGATCTTCGATTGAGTCATCCTCATTTATATAATTTAAACTCATTTATTTTCTTGGTGATTCCTTCTTTACCATTCGCAATTGGTTATACTGAATGTTGAGTTAACTTCGTTACATAAAATTAAACCTTCTTATTCTTTCACATTAAATCAACCTCACATCCTTCATATAGCATCATTTATTCTCAGATACACATGCCAGAAGTATCTAAAAACCACTTTTGTTAACTTGATCGTTCGGAGTTAATCTCCCACTCTCTCCTTAGCGAGAGAGTGGGATGAGCGTAGATTTTTTTCTCTTTTGAGATTTTCACACTTATTAAATTAGAAAATAGAAGTTGATGCTGCTTTGAAGAAAATTAAGTCTGCAAAAGTAGCAGGTTTTTATGGTATTCTAATAGAACTATGAAGATATTTAGGAGATCTAATAATTTTTTTGCTTACTAAACTTATAAATTTATTTTAAAAACTAAAAAAAAGTTTGATGAGTGGATGGTCTATTGCTTAGTATTTGTATGAATAAAGGGGATGCATAGAAGTGTGCAAATTATAGATGAATTAAGTTAATTTGTCATACATTAAAGTTATGAGTTAGAATAATTGAACATAGGTTATAACGTGATGCATAAATTTCTCAAAATCAATTTAGATTATGACGTGATGCATAAATTTCTCAAAATCAATTTAGATTCATGCTGGACAAGTCTACTATTGGAAGTTATACATTTTATGAAAAGTTTGATTGAGAAGTATAGACAAAATCAGGAGGATCTACATATGTTTTTTGTTGGTTTAGAAGAAACTTATGATAAGGTTCAAAGAGAAGTACATGGGGGAGTTCTAAAATAAAAATGTGTTGATATTGATTATATTCAAGTCATTAACGATATATACACAAAATTTGTTACTTGTTTTCGTACACAGCAAGGATTGACCTGGTATTTTCTTATTTTGGTTGGATTACATCAGGGATTTGCTTTAAGCCCATATTTTTTTTCTTTTGTTATGGTTGTTCTTATTGGTCATTTACAAGACACTGTACTTTGGTGTATGCTTTTCATTGATGATATCCTTCTTGTGGATAAGACTAGAGGGAGAGAGAGTTCAAGAAAAACTTGATTTATGGAGGTCAAGCTTAGAATCCTATGGCTTTCATTTGAGTAGATCTAAAACTGAATACATAGAATGTAATTTTAGTAATAGTAAATCTAGTGGTGGGGTTGTAACAATTTGTGATCCAGTCATTAAAAGAAATGAACGTTTTAGATATCTAGGGTCTATTATTTATAGTGATGTTGATATAGATGGAAATCTTATTAGTAGAATTCAAGTTGGATGGTTGAAGTGGAGGAATGTATCAGGCCTATTATGTGATAGAAAAACATTGCTTTGACGATGAAAATTTTATAACATGGTGGTAAGAACTGCAGTGCTTTATGGGGTAGAATGTTGGCATGCAAAAGAGAAGCATAAAATTAAGTGTTGTTGAGATTTGAATGCTCAGGTGGATGAGTGACTTTGCACTTAGAGATAAAATGCGAAACGAATTTATCTATGAATGGTTTGGAGTAATTCTAGTGATTGACAAGATTCGAGAGAGTCGCCTTAGATGGTTTGATCACGTTAAAAGTTGACTATTTGATCACTCTATTAGGAGAGTAGATGTTCTAGATTTGACTTATGTTAAGAAAGGTAGAGGTAGACCAAAAAAGACTTGGGCATGTTCTATAAAAATGATCTTAATTTATTAGAACTAAATGAAAATATAACACTCAATAGGACACGAAGGAGTAAAAGGTTTAAGGTAGGCGACCCTACTTAGTGGGATAAAAGCTTCTTGTGTTTGTTGTTGTTGTTGTATCATAAGGTCAGATGACAGGACCCTCTTACTGAACTTTCATCATGAATTTGCGAGTTTATTTTGTTTGCATTATATAATCTGCCATTAACACAATCAATGTATCAATTAAGCTAGGGATGTTATTTAACCTCTGCGGCACATCTTGATTCCATGAGGATTATTTTAGAATATATTTATTCTAATGTATAGAATGCATCACATCTTCATTGTAAAATTGCTTTGTATTGCACTTCAAAATATCAAAGGCCTGGCTTTGTTTTCCCTCATTGGAGCTCTTCAGTTTTTCTATTTATCATGTCTTATACTTGCTTATCTTATTAATTATCTCTTCTAAGCAGAATTCTTTGATCTTTTAGTCTTGATCCGAGTACCTAACTGCCGTTATATTTTGTTTTCATCTTTTTTTTTTTTCAACAATCACATATACCATTCTGCTTTCTACTTGAGCCTACAAATTTTTAAAAGATAGGCCAGAACCAGAAGTTTACATGTATGGTATTGTCTTTAGCTCATGCATTTTTTCTTTTACCATGAATATCCAAACTGTACCCGAAAAAAGTGTTAGATCAACTTTTTTTTTTCTTCCAAATATCCTTATGATATTAATTTTTTAGGTTTTTTCATTGTTTAATAAATATCTTTCACTTGAAGTTTTAAACTTTGTATGTTAATGTTTTCTTACTTTTCCTTGTTATCAGTTTACCATTGAAAGCCACAAATTTTCAGGAAACAATATTAAATTTAATGATTCAAACATGTACTGGGCCTGAAATTTTTTCTGTAGTAAAGAGATAGGATGTAATGCTCTCTAGATTTTGCTAGCAATTCAATGTCGGGCTGAAGAGGGTCAAATAAGATTGGATTTCTTGCACTTTAGAAGTATACAAGGTAACGGTCTATCTAGTAGAAAGAAATCAACAATCTCTTTGAGCCACCCTGAATACTTTCTATAAGCAGATAGGGATGGCTCACCTCTTACACAATTGTGAGTTTTTTAATCCAACCTCTTGCACCTTTGTGAGTTTTTTAATCCAAGAATTAGAGAAAGGGTAGTCCTACCTGATAGGTCAAGTTGAAAGCAAAATGGTACATATCATTGTTAAAAAAAGGGTGAAAACAAAATATAACAGCTGTTAGATACTCGGATCAAGACTAAAAGATCTAAGACCTGCTTAGAAGACATAATTAATTAGATAAGCTAGTATAAGACGTGATAAATTTAAACACTGGAAGTGTTCTCATGAGGGATAACAAAGCCAGGCCCGTTGCTATTTTGAAGTGCAACAAGTAGCAAATTTACTATGAAAATATGATGCATTCTACAAATTAGATTAAATGTATGAATTGAATTTAGTGGAAAGAGGAACAGACTTTTCTCTAGCAATACTCGTCTGTTTTTAGACCTAGGTATGGTGGTCAAAATATAGCATAGGGATGAACTCTATGCGAGAGACCCTGGATTTTGAATTTAAAAATACTTTTGATGAAACAAAGTTGCTGAGTTAGTCACCATTTTTCGCATTAATGATTTTGTTTAGCCCTGGCACCAAAAAGGTCATTGACATATACATTAAAACTTGGCTATTGCTTTTGCTCCAGTAGTTTATATATATATACTGGGTAAACTCCTTATATTACTTAGGGAAAATGCACACCATTAGTCTCAGCTTGTTTAAGTTGATATAGTGGAATAGTAAGGTGCCGGTACAGTGAACTTGTTCTGCATGCAGTTTACATTTTTTTTTTTTTTTGGTTTTAGATTTTCTTATTTTCTGCTGTTTTGAGATTGTTCTACTTTAAATTAGCATGATTTGGTTAATTTTCATTTGCTTTAATGTAAAAAATTGTTAACCTTTTGTATACTTTCCAGAATCATGTTCACAAGGCAGATGAGGAAGCTTGGACTCGTGTGACATCTGAATCTTCCAAATTTGCTCACTTTTTTTACGATGAAAGTGAAGGTCAGCTTATTGATATACCTGCCATAAAAAAATGATTTTGAGTCTAAATTCAAACATAACTTATTCTGCTTCCATGGCTTTGCAGATAAAATTTCTATTGATGATAAATCTTCCAGGGACATACTTTCATTAATTGTTAATAATGATAATTTTGGTTCACAAGTTTATATGTCCTCAAATGAGGAAACCACTGAAAAGAATCAATCAAGCCTGCCTTCTGAAAATACAGCAATTCTCCCCAGTTCTTCTTCGCCTTCCCCAATTACTGGAATGTTTTTAGAGTCCTACCAAGGTGTTGAGCAAAAAACTTGTGCTGTGCTCACATGTGAGGACCTTGAGCAGTCAATATTGGCTGAAGTTAAAGACCGATGCTTTATTATGCCATCTTTGCAGGAACCTTCTACTGCTGTTGATGCTAATTCTGAAGAGCATAAAGATGTTGTAAATGACCATGCATCCCATCATCTTCTCTCTATCTTGCAGAGAGGAGCACACTCTAAACGGTCATTAGAATCTCCTGGGCTAGATGTTAGTGGAAACCATGATATGCTTGCCTCTTCTGATGTAGAGTCTAGTCTCAACTTTCAGCTTACTGATAATGCTTCTACTAGTCTTTCTGAAACAGAACATAGCTCCGAAAAACGCCTTACTCTTGAAGCTTTGTTTGGGGCAGCATTTATGAATGAGCTGCATTCAATGGAAGCTCCGGTCTCAGCTCAGAAAATTTCTGTTGATAGGGCTAATAATGACAATGCCATCCATTCTCATGGCTTAACATTTTATCCCTCGGATAGCCTTACTTCGATTACCAATGAGCGACATTCAAAGAAAGTCGTCTTTGAAGGAGAAATGTTGCAATCAAACATTTCTACGGAACATACTAGAGCCCGTAAGAGTACAGAAAATTGGGCAGGTTACAGGGATACTCCTCTGCATGCCTTTAAATTAGGTGATTTGCCTTTTGAACAGGCTGCTGGAGATATCCATCTGCCTGAAGAGGATAGCTTGATTTCTCTCAATGATTCTCTAGATTCTGTGCCCTCTGATTCTCTATGTTTTCAAAAAGTGAATAGAAATGAGTCACTTGTACCTGAAAAGATGGTTGGAGATCTCAGTGATAAGTTACTTCATGCTATTCTTAGAGTTGGAGAACCCACAAGGGAAAGTGCAGTGGATTTTCCTTCTCCTATACATGCTGCTAATGAATTAGCTGACCCTGGTGGCGATTATCATCATCTGCATATCAGGCCAACATTACAGTTTCCTCATCAGATGAATCATGTAAAGCCTTTGTTGGCCGCTCATTCGGATCATCCCACACTTAGAAATTCTCAGATGAATTTTCGTAGTTCAGATGTCATGCATCATGATCCTTCTCATCCTTTTGCCCCGAAAGTATTTGCTCACCACAGTCACAATAGCAGTAGCGGTCCACATTTTGAACCTACCGCCCTTCATCATATGCTACAACCCATGCCATTTCCAGGAAATTTCCCATCACATAATTCAGTTCATGCTTTGCCACGGGTACAACATCCGATAAATCACATTGCTGGCTTTTCACACGAGATGAACAACCTACATGTGTTTCCACAGCACCACCGGCAACCTAACTATGGAGGCCATGGAATGGGGATTCCTGGTATAGTTCATAGCCTTTTAATTTTTGAAGCATTTTCCCCCCAGTTTTGATAGAGTTCAAGGAAAGGAACTAAAACTCCTCATTTTTATGTTTTTTTTATGGCTTATCATCGAATTCATCAAAAATATTTCCAATATTTTTATTTCAGGACATGTATTCTTGTTGTATATTTGTATTTGATTTCTCCAGTGCCATCTTAACTCAATGATGCTTGTAGCCCCTAGATTTCAATCCATTAGATTTACATGAAAATTGATGGGAATGCATAGATATTTTGAAGCGCTTGCTTTATTAGTATTATAATTTAGCAAGCATACAATTTTTTTTTGTCCCCATCAACTTCTTTAGCTCATCCAACTGTTTGAGCTCGGACTTATAAAATTTCCTGAAATTTTCTTGTACTGGTGTTATTTTATAAGGTTTTAATGGTATTATGTGCAAGCCTGCATGTGTATAGACTGAGATGAACAACTTGTTATCATGGTTTTCACTTCTTTGCAAGAGATTGCCAATCTACATGTGCACTATATTTTTTTTGCTAATTCTTGGCTAAATGTTTGAAGTTGAATTGCATACCTGATTTAATTGTACTTTTTTAAAATTCTTTTTGAAGCTCATATGATATTCTTCTATTAGACTGCGCTTCCGGGAAATTTATTTTAGTAGTTTAAACTCTGCTTTGGTTTGTATCCTCATTTTTCCTAACAAATAATGACTAGACTTCTCGAATTTATGGCACCTGTCATTTGATATTTCAACAATATTGAGTGATATTTACAATATTGCCTTCTTTGACTAAATGTTTTCTAGATGCTCTAAACCACTAGATTTCTACATATGAAGCATGTCTGAAACATCAGAGGTCAAACTGGTTATACATTTTGCGTGCGGTTGAGGTTATGATGTGTTCATGTTTTGACTAACCTCCTCTATTTGCAGGACAAGGTGGTGTTGGTGCTGATGTTGGGAGGCAATCTCAGGAGGCATTCGAAAGGCTGATGGAAATGGAGATGAGAGCTAATGCGAAGCACTTCCATCCTTCCATGGCAGAGCTTGTTCCTGGAATGTATGGTGGTGAGTTGGACATGAACTTGCGCTACCTGTGATATGAAAGCTGTGAATTTCTACCTGTGATATGAAAGCTGTGAATTTCTAAGAGCTCTTCATATTCAAGATTAAAAAAAAAAAAAAAAAACACAGATTTCTTAGATAAATGGTATTCTGTAGGTAAATATTAGGACTAGGAAGGGGAGAAAAAAAATATTGCAATGACCTGTGATGTTGCTGTGATTTTTATTTTACACAACTGGTTCTTCTTGTCTGTGTCACTTGAGGAGCTTTATTAGTTGTGCAAGTTGCAGGCTTGCTTCTCTTATATCTTTTCATGCTTTATTAGTCTTTTATCGTTCTGCATTCAAATGCGTTTTCTTTGTTTTAAAACCTTATTATGTTGTGTTTGTATGCTTCTTCCTTCTCTAAACCGCACGCATCGTGGGCTTGATAGGCAGAACTTCTTTAAAGAAAAGCCATCATTTTTTCGAATCGCATTAATTTTCAATTCATAACTAGTCGTGCATTTTTGTGATTTGTTAATTTGCTAGATTTGATTCATTTGCGACATGTGATGGGTTCTTTTATTTTCCTAAATTATATTCATGTGATGAGGATTATTTGGATCGATTTATTCATTTTATTTTGTCTATTTTCATACGAAATCATATTATTTTGGAAGATTTTTACGTACCTACCACTCAATTCTTATATATTTATGTATGTAACACCCACAGTTCAATTTTTACTTGTATACAACCTCACCTATGCTTGAAAAGGTGTTCACTTTTTTCAAGTTAAAATAATGGCATTTTTTGGGATTCGAGAGAGATTTGGGTGTTATAAATTTAAAATGCAAAGTTTAGGTGTTAGATGTGTAAATACATTGGAATTAGGTGGTATGTATGTAAATACCCATATTGGTTTTTATAATTCAATATGCTACATTTTTATTAATGTTTGTAAAGCTTATTTTTGTTGTGATTCAGTAGAGGGTGATGGTGTTATAGTTGGCGGCATATTAGATGACGTCAAGTGCAACTTGGGTGTGGTGATTGTTGATGGCAAGCAGGGTTTGACCATTGGCCGATGCCGGGGGTTGGGTTGATAGCGAGTTCAAGGTTGTTTGGTAGCAACTAGGGTTTTGGTGGTTAGGAGTTTGTATAAATAATATAGCTATCTCCCTTATTTAATTTGAATTATTTTTAAAATAAAGATAAAAACACGTGCAAATTATTGATATAGTATAATTGTTCATAGTTAAAAAGAATAAACAATATGAGTTTGATCTTGACTATAACCATTTAACTTTCCCTTACAAATGATGAGAGCCAGAATATGTAAAATTAAGAAAATAAACAAGTTATTCAATTAAGTTTCAAGCCAATGATAGGGGATCAGCCGATATTTTATGTGGGCTTAGCAACGAAGAAGAGAAGATTATAGCAGCGGCCATTCGTGATCATTCTTGTTTAAAGAATAGCTTTGTGGTTAAGAAAAACTCATCTGGTAAGTTGCAGAGGGTCATTCGATTGAATGCCAAAACAAATCTTTTTCTTGGCGGAAGTTGAGCTTTAATAGCAATTTAGAGGTTAGTAGCTAGTGGGGTTGTCAAAAATACTAGTTCACGAAAAATTGGTGTTTGGTTTGTTAAGAATTTCGAGTTTGAAGTTTTCGTTTAGCGAGTTGATTACAAATAATTTTTTTAAGCTCAAAGTATAAATAAAACTTGAATAGCCATTTGTTCAATTATATTCGGCTCATTTTAATTCAAATAAAGAAATTATAGATATTATTTATGTAATAATATATTATTGTATATTAAAAACATGTCAGCACGAATCTTAAAAAAATCTAACAAACTTGGAAGATGTGATGTGGCAATATGGGACCCATTGAAAAAGTAACTCACGAGGGACCCAGGAAGCCATCCTTTAATCTAAAGCCAGGCTACTCATGCAGCTGGAGGGCCCCGAGACGTAAACTGGTTGGCAATAAAAGCCGAGTGGCAGAAGCAACTAAGGACTTCTCAGAATTCGAGTTAACCAGTGATATACACTCCTATTGGACGAGTTCCCTGGCGTGTTAATTAGCATTGTCTGTCCGACTTCACAGGATCAGCCGACAAGCTACACTCGTGTTACTAGTTGATCAGATGACCCTGCTTGAACAGTCGGCTGACATGGACGACTGCCTTATCTCAATCATCCAACTTACCAGATCAAAAAACATAAAGGGTCTCTGGGCCCCTCCAAACAAAATATACATAACGCCCTATACAATCCCTACTAAAGTAGGTGTATCTATGTAATTTCGTACCATGTCTCCTATTGTACCTATGTATAGGTTTGACCCCTACTATTACACATTAACACGCTCTTTATTCCTCTCTCATCTATGTTTCTCTCTCTCATTCTACGCTTTATTCCTTAGGTTTGACCCATCAAAAAAATTTGTATTCAACATCCAAAAAGGTGCGGTGAGCGTGAAATCATGTCATCAAGAAAAAGAACACACTATGAAGAAGAAACTCATACGGGAGACATGGGAAATATGGACTGTACTAGAGATTTTGTTCAATAATGAATCCAACAGTTAAGAGACTAGATGATGAGTCAAATGGTGGAGTTAACCCGAGCAGTGCTTGGAGAATGAGAACAAGTTCCTTAGAGTAAAGCCATCAAGAAGAAGAGTCCAAACCCCAAGGTCACCGAGCGGCTCAGAGGTCAAAGAGATTTGCGAACCCCTAGTTCCAAGATATTGTTGCGTTTGCACCAATAAACATACAGTGATATGGGCGCATTGAGATCCACTGACAGACATATATATATATATA